TCAGTATAAAAGACAAAATATGAGTTTATTATGCGCAACGGCATAAACCTTCATCTGCATGGCATTGTTTTTAGGGGCTCTTTTACATTGGAGCAACTTTTTTATTTCAAACTAATGGATATTTGAGACAGCAGTAACTGGGTTTTTGTTATGTCAGTTTGCATCCAAAAGATTTAATTCATATGAAATGAGCAATCAGAAAACAAACCCTCCGTCTCAAAAAGAGAAAAATGAAAATCTTCAGGCCACAAACACGGATGAAACCAAACCCTCAGAGAGGAGAAGGCGGCTGCTATCGGCTGGAGGAAAAGATGCTGATGTAAATAGCAAACAGGAAGTAGAAAAACGGGAAACAATCCAGGGTACTACATAAACATGTCATCGTAGCCAGGAGGGGGCATGTGGTCTGGATCCGGCCTAAAAAACAAGAGAAACACACAGAGCTGTTGTTACTGTAGCCAGTGGAGGGTGGGTGGTTCGATCCCTGACTCCTGCTGTGCACACGTCTTAAGTCTACTTGGGTAAGGATCGAGTGTGAGTGTGAGTGTGAGTGCACAGGTTAGACATAGATAAAAGCGCTGTATGAATGTGTGTGTGATTTGGTGAATGAGGAGTAACCAAGTGCTCAGCTGAATAAAAAGGTGCCGGCCCATTCACCATTATCATATTTTATATACTGTCATTTTTTCATATTTTGTCTTATTTTTATTTTGACTCCTGGTGTTCAGGCTGAGGCCTGCAGGGCAGGGTTAGGTAATGGAGCAAATACACTGACTGCCAATGATTAGTGGAGTCCACTGCCTGCTGTTGGACTGATTTTTGCTATTTTATTTAGAAAAGTTTTTGGTGTGTCTCCTTTATAATTCAAGATAACGCACAGTCAACCTGGAAAGCACAGAAGTTCTTGTTGCACTGATTTCAGTTGTTCACAACACAAAGCAGAGGCTCTAACAATTAAACGTCTTTAGTGCTTCCTGTCCTTTATTTTGGGCTGAAAAGCTTCATAACAGAAGCAGATTGAAAAACTGTGTGTGCATTTCTGCACACTCACAGCACTTAAGGCTGCAAACAGAGGCATCCTTCATCTAATTATTTTCCTTATGGTTGTCTCATTTGTCAGTTTCATCTACATCAGTTTGGAGCTAGATAAATGCCAAGCAGGCGATTTTGCTTTGCTTCATTGCATTTGCTGAAAATGCTGCTGGGGACTCCTCTGTCTCTCCAGCAGGAACTTGAGCTGGACGGTCGCGGCTGTTGGACTGACACCGAGCGACTGGAACTTTAAACACGCAATCTTACTACAGAACTAAGACGGTTTGTTTCCAGGACAACAGGCAACCTTTACTTGTTTATTAAATCTGGTTTATCAGTCTATTTAGTTACAGAGTCACTAAAATCTGTGTCTATAAATGAGGCTGGAAGGTGAATAATATATTTTTCCTGTCATTATCTTCACATTTATATCAAAAACAACAACTTTAAGGCAACTTTGCATGATTATCTAATAATCATGCAAAGTTTTATTTTACAATGAATCTTGAAAATGGCACCAAATGTTTCTATAATATGTAAGAAAATACACAACTGTTTAATTTGCTTCAGTGGAGTAAATTATATAAATCTAAGATGTTGTAACATTATAAGCCTTTATTTGGATTGACACAGAGTCAAGAGCTGCCTCCATTATGTAAGGTGGCTCCTCAAAACTCTTTAAATTGCTAAAATGGAGAGGCCATCTGGTATTACTGAGATTAAAATGGGTGCAGCTTTGTTGTGTTTCATTTCTGCTGCATTAAATCTGGTGAAGCTGCAGCTGAGAATTAAAAAAAACATTTTTTTAATAAGACCACTGACTGATTTAATGCTGCTCTTGGATTTGGATTTTTGATCAAGTCAAAAGATAAGATCTTTTTTTTTTTTGAGAACTTATTTTATGTCAGAAATTCAAAGTGTCTTTGACCCTTTGAGAGGTTCAGTGGAGCCTCACAGCTGAGGAGCTGTTACAGCCTGAATTAGTGCAGACAGATGGAGGCGTGTGTGTGTGTGTGTGTGTGTGTGTGTGTGTGTGTCTCACCCTGGTCTGTGACGTCCGACGGGTCCAAACGGATCGAAGCGAGCTCCTGGGGGAACGGCTCCAGGAGGCAGAATGTCTGGTATCCCACTAGACGGGTCAAAGCCAGAGCGAGGATAACCCGACCTCAAAGGGTCGACTATCATCCCACCACCGCCGCGAGACCTGAGGAGGGGAGGCGGAGTTCAGAGATTCAAGAGAAGGACACGTGTCAGCTGGTTTTGTTCACTTTATTCTAAAATCCCACTGAAATGTCAAAGATAAACAGGCTACAGGTTTTATCTGAGAGTGTTTAAAAATAAATCACTAGTTAAGTAACATTAATGTTTTTATAACATAAAAAAAAATCCTAAACAAGTTGTACTTTCATGATTGTAATGGATGATGACGGAGCTAAAATCCACCCACCGCGGAGCGGCGGTTTCAAAAGTATTATCCAGCTTACACCACGCTCGACATCCAAACAAGACTGTTTCAAAAACAGACGTCATAAAGAGCTCCCCAGTACAGAAACCAAATCAAAGAACAATAAACACTAAACACAACAAATAAAGTCCACCTTGAGTTGGTTTTTAAACACGCCCACTTTATCAGTGTACTTGAAGCACAGGTTAGGGGGAATAACATCTTGCAACACAACCCAAAAACATATACAAATGGATGCCCTTTGCCCTTTTTACATTGTGTACATGTGCTGTGGGTCATACTGGATCACTTGGCTGCCATTAAAAACCTCTCATGGGCCTTATTGGCTCTTCTGCAGGGCTCGGCCAGAAGCTCACCTTGTAAGTGAACCAGAAAAATCTTCTGGGTGGGGTTGAGTTTAGCAATTATTAAAAACTGTAAGAAAACTATTTACATAATAGCTGCGACTCAGTTTGGAGATGTTTGCGTCATTCGAGTCTGAAAAGGGAAGTTGATGTTAAAGTGTCTTAAGCAAACTTTATTTCTAATGGCCAGAAGGAGACGACTCCTGGTGGTTACAAAGAAGTCTGTGGGAAAACGGCACTGGGCTGCTGGTCCTCACTCTGAGACCTCATTAAACACTTTCCTGGAGATTTCATGGGCTGAGTCGCCTGTTTCAGGTCATACTGAATAAAATAGGGAGATCATTTTGTAAATTCTGGTCACTTTTAAAGAAAAATAAGAGGACTGTCCAGTGTTCGCCCATTACCTTCAGATGTGTCTGTTACTCTCATTAACCTTGCTAGTCCCATGTAGTTACACAACACCACGTGCTGACAGCAAAAATAATTAGGGCGAGGTTTTAAGAGTGGGTGATGTCACAGTAACTATGGTCATCTTTTATAACATCTATACTGTAAAAAACAATGTGCCGTCAGTAGGGCTGCACGATTTTGCATAAAATGAGAATCACGATTTTTT